TTAAAGATGTGGGGTACATGTTCATTATGCAGGTGCCCTTGTTGAGGTGTGCCCCCCCATCCGGCAGTTTCCCACTACTGCCAATCGTTTTCTTATAGTATTATGATAATTGTTCAAGGTCCGCTTATGAGTGAGAACATGTGACACTTAGTTCTTTGTTTCTGTGATAGATCACTCAGTATTATAGCCTCTAAGTCCATCCAAGTTGCTGCGAAGTTCATAATTTTGTCCTTCTTTATGGCTGCATAATATTCCATCGTGTATATGTACCACATTTTTAAAATCCAGTCCTCTTTCAATGAATAGCACAGTTGGCTCCATGCTTTTGCTATTGTGAATAATGATGCAATAAACATATGTGTGCAGGTATCTTTTTCATCAAGTGATTTGAGTTACTCCAGGTATATTCTCAGTTAGGGGGATTGCGGGGTCATATGGAAGGCCAATTTTTAGATCTTTTAGGAATCACCACACTGGCCACAGAGGCTGTACTAGTTTACACTCCCACCAACCATGTAGAAGTGTTCCCTTTTCGCTGCACCCTCTCCAGCATCTGTTGTTTTTTGAGTTACTGATGATGGCCATCCTGACTGGAATTAGGTGGTATCTCAGTGTGTTTTTTTTTTTTTTTGTAGAGATGAGGTCTTGCCAAGTGCCCAGGCTGGTCTCAAACCCATGGGCTCAGGCAGTCCACTTGCCTCGGCCTCCCAAAGTGCTGGGATTACAGGCTGAGCCACTGAGCCCAGCCTCTCAGTGTGGTTTTAATTTGCATTTCTTTTTTTTTTTTGAGTTGGAGTCTCACTCTGTCGCCCAGACTGGAGTGCAGTGGCTGCAGCCTCGACCTGCTGGGCTCCGGCGATCCTTTCGCCTCAGCCTTCCAAGTAGCCGGAATTACAGGCGCGCACTACCACGCCCGGCTGATTTTTTGATTTATTGTAGAGATGAGGTCTTGCTGCCCAGGCGGGTCTCGAACCCGCGGGCTCAGGCAATCCACTCACCTCAACCTCCCAAAGGCGCGGGATTACAGGCTGAGCCACTGAGCCCGGCTTAATTTGCATTTCTTTGATGACTAGTGAGGCTGAGCATTTTTTCATGTATCTGTTGGCTGCTCGTATGTCTTCTTTTGATTAAATCCATTTCATTGCACACTGATTTTTCTTCATCATTTTTATTGAGATCAAATTAGTATATTTTCTCTGGAATTTTGGTTGAGACTCATAATTGATAGTGAAGAAAAACATGATCAGCAAAAGTGCCCTTGTACTGAACATTTAAGCTGTTTACCAGGCCAGGTGTGGTGACTCACACCTGTAATCCCAGCACTTGGGAGGCTGCAGAGGCAGGAGGATTGCTTGAGCCCAGGAGTTCGAGACTAGCCTGGGCAACATAGTGAGACCTGTCTCAAAAACAAACAAACAATCCCAAAAAACTGTTTACCATAACATTTCCCAACAGAGTGGAAATTGAAATTGCTTGTAACAAAATGGAGTGGATTGAAACCTTAGAGAAATTGGATTCAGAGTTATATAATGTGTCTCATTTCCATCCACTCTTTGTGTTCAAGGATGTTTGTCCAAGTGTTATTTCCAAGAGTAAAACATCAGAAACCACCTAGTTATCAACATGAATGCTTAAAAAAATCATGGTGTAGTCATAACATGGACTATTATGAAACACAAAAGGCAGGTTTTCAAAAGATGCTTAATATGGGAAATTTCTTATAATGTTAAGTACAACTATATCTAGCAAATAGCAATTGTGTTTAAAGAAAGTATACATATACAGAGAAGACTGGAAATTTTTAACATATTGGCACTGGTTGCTTCTGATGATGTGCTTAAAAAGAATTTACATTTTCTTATTTTCTCCCAACTACTTGGGAGAATGAGGTGGGAGGATTGCTTGAGCACAGGAGTTCAAGGTTGTAGTGAACTATGATCATGTCACTGTACTCCAACCTTGGTAACTGAGACCCTGTCTGTAAGAAAAATATTTTTTTAAAAGTCTTATTTTCCAAATATTTTTTATTCTCTATATTACTTATATTACTATTCAAAAATCAGAAAACAGCCACACAGGATCAATTTTTTTTTTTTTTTTTTTTTAGTTGGAGTCTCGCCCAGACTGGAGTGCAGTGGCCCCTCCCGGCTACCACAGCCTCGACCTGCTGGGCTCCGGCAATCCTTCTGCCTCAGCCTTCTGAGTAGCCTGAATTACAGGCATGCGCTACCATGCCTGGCTAATTTTTTGATTTATTGTAGAGATGAGGTCTCGCCTGCCCAGGCGGGTCTGGAACCCGCGGGCTCAGGCAATCCACTCACCTCAGCCTCCCAAAGGTGCGGGATTACAGGCTGAACCGCTGAGCCTGGCTAGGATCAATTTTTTTAAAAGGACACATAGGGTAAGGTAATTACTTTTTCTTGCAAAGCGAAGTCCTGGGGAAAATCAAACATGGCAAATTTATGTCAGGAGGTTAGCAGATCTCCACACAGCAGTCACAGGGCTACCATCAGCCATAAATGACCTCCTTGAAACAATGGAGTTTTCTTTTCTCTCTCTCTTTTTTTTTTTTTGAGTTGGAGTCTCACTCTGTCACCCAGGCTTGAGTGCAGTGGCACACTCATCGCCACCGCAGCCTCAACCTACTGGGTTTAGGTGATCCTTCTGCCTCAGCCTTCCAAGTAGCTGGAACTACAGGCACGCGCCACCGTGCCCGACTAATTTTTTGCTTTATTGTAGAGATGAGGTCTCACCAAGTTACCCAGGCTGGTCTCAAACCCATGGGCTCAGGAAATCCTCTCACCTCAGCCTCCCAAAGTGCTGGAATTATAGGCGTGAACCTCTGTGCCTGGCCTGGAATTTTCAATGTGAGAAACATTGAAAGGAGATGGTCACCTCATCCACCTTTCTATGTGGGAATCCTTGAAGACAACAGCCTCTGCACCTCCAAAGTGGACTTTGAGCCTTTGTAGAGGCAAGCCCAGTGAAGAGAAGCTCAGTGTTCAGAGGTAGCCTGGTTGGCTCTGGATCACTTGGACAGACTGTCTCCTTACATTTGTGCAGAATTTGCCTCCTGATATTTCTTCCAGTGTTCCTAGTTCTACCAGCTTGTTTCCATATTAGAGCAAGAATAAGCTTTCTTCAATCCAGGTGTCCTTTCAATATTTAAATATGAGTGTGTGTTTTTAGCATTCATAAGGCGTAATTTAGGTATGATAGACTGCACTGATTTAGAGCAGACAGTTAGCTATGTTTTTATAGTCATGTACATTCACAGCATCATCACCACACTCAAGATACAGAACATTTTCGTTACCTCCTAAAGTTTTATCATATCCCTTTGCATTCCATCCCTCCTTTTACCATTGTTGCAGACAACCATTGATCTGCTGTCATCACAGATTGGTTTGCAATTTCTACATTTCCAGAATTTAAAAAATTTTTTTCTTTCTATTTATTTATTTGTCAGGGTCTCTGTCACCCCGGCACAGTGGTATGATCGCGCGCATGCCACTGCCTTGACCTGCTGGGCTCAGGCAATCCTTCCACCTCAACCTCCTGAGTAGCTGGGGCAACACGCAAGCACCACCCCACCTGGCTAATTATTTGATTTTTTTGTAGAGACAAGGTCTCACTATGTTGCCTAGACTGGTCTCAAATTCCTGGGTTTAAACAGTCCTCCTGCCTCAGCCTCCCTAAGTGTTGGGATTACAGGCGTGGGCCACTGTGTCCTGCCTTTTTATGTAAAAAAAATTTTTTTTTGAGTTCAGGTCTCACTCTGTTGTCCAGGTCTCACTCTGTTAGCCCAGGCTGGAGTGCAGTGGCACAATCACGACTCACTATAGCCTGGACCTCCCGGACTCAGGTGATCCTCCTGCCTCAGCCTCCTCAGTAGCTGGAACTACAGATGTGTGCCACCATGCCTGACTAATTTTTTGATATTTTTGTAGAGATAGGGGTCTCACTATGTTGCCCAAACTGATCTTGAACTCCTGGACTCAAGGAATTTTCCCCCCATGGCCTCCCAAAATGCTGGAATTACAGGCATGAGTCATCAATGGTAGGCTGCAATTTCTATAATTTCATGTAAATGGAATGATACAGTACTGTGTGTACTTTTTTTTTCTTTTTTAAACTGACTTGCAAGATAAAACCCTTTAGCTTTTTCTTTCACTTTATGAAGCAGTTTTATAACATTCATTCTTTACCTTTATGGAGTCATCATAAAAGGTGTATCAGACTTCCTCTTCAGGGAATTAGCCAGTAAGTGAAAATGGATTACACATTTTATACGTGAACTTGTTTTTCCTTCACTGTGAAGAAGTATTGGACTATAACCTTTGAGGCATTTTCTAGCTTTAACACTATATGTAGCTCTATATAACTTTTCCAGTTACTATTCAAAGGCAGTTTTGCATATTTGCTTGAAATTAGTCCAGTGAATATAATAGAAATTCAGTGGGATGTAGAGTTTTTTATTTTTGCAGTTTTCTAATTCTTTCCAGGGATCATGATGTATGGTTTAATGATTTCTTACACGGCAAAAATTTTTCACTTGTCATTTCCTTTTTCTTAAGAGATAGGCTCTCCCTGTGTTGCCCAAGCTCGAGTATAGTGGCTATTTATAGGCGTGATCATAGTGTACTGTAGCCTTAAACTCCTGGGCTCAAGCAGTCCTCCTGCCTCAGCCTCTGGAATAGCTGGGATTACAGGTGTATGCCACTGCATCCAGCTCAACATTGCCATTTTAAAGTTAAGGTGGCAAAGGAATGTTTATACAAGTAATATGGAACCTCATAGGAGAGTTCCCTTCCAAAGAAAGAAAACCTGCTTGATGGTATCTAAGGGGTAGAGTGAATATCACAATATGTTTTAAGTGTCCCAGATGTAATCAAATAGAAATGATGATGACATCTACATTTTTTCCTCTTGATTTTTTTATGGTTTCAAACCACACCCATGTTGCAGGTTGGCCTTTCTACTGAGACCAGGTTCTTTTGAGATTAAAATCTGTAGCTATAGGCAGAACACTTCAGTGAGGAGTAACTTACTTTCTTTGGTCAAACACTGATTTCGGCAGAGGATTATCTGAGGATAGACACAACTTAAGGAGACTGAATTTTAAATCTTCTGAATTGTTTTTCTGGACTTCCAAATCTCAAGTGACAAGACCAGCTGAAGCAGGTATGTAAAATTTTCCCTTATGTCAGTAGCCTCAGATTCTGGTATTACTTTTTCATGATTGTTAAACTGAGATCAGCCTCGTCACAGTATTTCTTTTATAAGTGCAATCTTGCTTTGTGGTTCTAGGTGGCTTTGTATAATCAATGCAAGTAGTAACCTTGGTGTGAGGGCCATGTAATTCTTTTTCTTTTGAGTTGGAGTCTCATTCTTGTCGCCCAGGCTGGAGTGCAGGGGCACGCTCATGGGGCACTGCAGCCTTGATCTGCTGGGCTCAGGCAATCCTTCTGCCTCAGCCTTCCAAGTAGCTGGAAATACAGACGCATGCCACCACGCCCAGCTACTTTTGTGTGTGTGATTTACTATGGAGACGAAGTCTCACCAAGTTGTCCAGGATGGTCTCGAACCTCCAGGCTCAGGCAATCCTCTCATCTCGGACTCCCAAATTGCTGGGATTACAAGCTGAGCCACTACACCCAGCCACCTAATTCTTAATTCTCTCTTCATTTTTCTGTTTTGAAAACTATTTCTTTCGCAAGCACTTCTTGTTAGAAAAGAAAGGGCTGTTTTGGTTTTATTCAGCATTGGGTAACAAAAATTAAACTTTATTTTAATTAAACTTTAATTTTCCTTTCAGAAATAAATATAAATTGTTAGGAAAACGCTGGGCTGGGTGCAGTGGCTCACGTCTGTAAAACCACCTTGGGAGGCTGAGGCAAGAGGACTGTCTGATCCCAGGGTTTGAGACCAACCTGGGCAACTTGGCAAGACCTCGTCTCTGCAATAAATCAAAAAATTAGCAGGTTGAGGCAGAAGGATCGGCTGAGCCCTACAGGTTGAGGCTCCAGTGGCTGCGAGTGTGCCACTGCACTCCAGCCTGGGCGACAATGAGACTCCAATTATTAAAAAAAAAAAAAAGCTGAAGTGACTGAACATATTCATTCTGTACCATTTGGAATGTCTGTGTATTATTACTTTGAAGCCTATTGCTTTTGGTCTCATGGAAATAACTCTTCCAATCTATGGTTTAATTAAGTGTAAGCAAAACTCTTTTTTTCTGGAGTGAGTCCATAGATAAAAAGGACGAATGGTAATAGAGGGTGTCTCCAATGCTAGAGATGCGATAAGATCATATCCAAGCATCTGGAGTCTGAAGAAAATATTTAAATTGAAATAAATTCTCATAATTTTTGCTCTTCTGTTTTTCCAAATACCAAAATGTACTTGGAGGTAGTGACCTTGCTTAAAAGCTTCTTTCACTGCTTGAGTGAACTTGGGAAGGGGCTGCAAGCTTTCAGAAAAACTGTTCTCATAAACAGTGTTCAAATAAGCAAGTCACCTTTCACATTGAGCATTTTTAATGGCTTCTGAGGTCGGTTGAAAAACTATATCTTTACCCTACACAGCCTGGAAGCTGTAGTAGCCTTACCTGGAGGTTTTTTCTTTAGTAAAGCAGAAAATGAGCAGTTCCCACCCCATGTAAAGCTGAGAAGGTCTTGAATGATGCATGTTGAGGAAACTTGGATACTGATACTGCTGGCAATTTACATAGGTCTTAGTGCCAAAGAATTAAAGACTCTTGAGTTTTCTTAAAAGAGCCAGCTTTTGAAAAGTTAAGTATATTTCCTTATTGCAGAGACCTGAGCTCTTAAACCTAAGTAGAAAGTTAAGACTTGCTCAGCTTTGTGAAGCAGTCAACCACTTAAATATATTTGTATGCTCATAGAATAGAGTTACTCTGTAGCTCCTGTTAGGGAAGCCAGCATATTGTGACCCATTAACCCCGGAAAGCAAGTGCCAAGGAAAAATTTTACATAGTTAAAAAAAGAACACTCCTTCTGGCTTTCTTAGGAACCAGAATTGCCTTTGCTGTATTATGCCTGGAGTCTAACAAAGGCTGTGTCCTCGTGCCAGTTCACATAATGAATCAACCAATTGCTAATTGTGTTCTTGTGGAGGAGGGGGATAACATTCCTTTATGATCCCCAGTTTAGATCAGCTTACCACCCAAAGCATGATATTTGATTACCCTTATTATGTTTCTTTGCGTTGCTACAAATGTTACTAATGGCGTGGCCTTATCTAGCCATTTAAAAAAGTCCCCGGCTTTGCTGACTTACAGTCAGTGCTGTAAAAGGCCCTATTGCTAAGAACCCTGGTAACACGAGAACCCATGGAGAATGGAACAGCACTTGGGGTTAGGTATACGCTGCAAATGCAAACATCTTGAACTCCCGAATATTCCACTGAGTGCCTGACTGCCTGTTTTTTTCTTCTAGGTACTGGTTTTTATCTCTAAAGCTCCCTGTGACTGGGCCCAAATTGCTTTAAAAATTATAAAAAGTTACCTGCCACTTCTGACCATGTTCTTCTATTAGAATTGAAGGTTTTAGGGTTCCCTTTTTCTCTTTCCTTTCAAATGTTTCTACCTCAGTTCTCAGTCTAGCGAGACAAATAAACCACTAGAAGCAAGTGGTGGAAGAATTCTTATCCTTCACCTACTCCTGCAGAGGTGGGGGGTTGAGTTGTTTCTCCATCTAAAACTCTGGAGCAGTGACTCCCTGTCTATGCTTTAAAACTTTTTGACTTGGCCAGGTTTGGTAGCTCATGTCTGTAATCCAACCACGTTGGGAGGCCGAGGTGGGAGGATTGTGTGGGTCCAGGCATTTGAGACCAGCCTGTGCAACATAGTGAGAACTTTCTCTAGAAAAAAAAATCAAAAAATTAGCCGGGCATGTTGGTGCGTGCCTGTAGTCCCAGCTACTCAGGAGGCTAAGGCAGGAAGATTGCCTGAGACCAGGAGCTAGCTCGAGGCTGCCATGAACTGTGATTGTGTCACTGCATTCCAACCTGGGCAACAGAGTGAGACCCTGACTCAAAAATAGTAATAATAATGTTTTTGACTTCCATTAGTAAAATGTGTTGTGCATACACTATTGGCAAGGTATATATTTTTAATTTATATATACCACTTAATATATATATTTACATATATAAAAAATAAATTTAAAAGGATAAGATGATGTTTAAAATAATTATTAATTGAAAGAACTTCATAATATCCTTAACATTATATCTCATGATACAATATATACACAGAATAATGTTTATTGCTAATGACAATGAGTGTAAAGTTGTATTTTATATAATCTTGATAATTTTGACTTTTTTGCCAACTTGTCACATTTGCCCCTGTTTAGTTTTCTGATATCACTAGTGAAGACTCATGCTAGGATTAGAGGTGTTAGCTCTGCTGTTTTTCTAATGATTATATGATTAGTATTTCTTTTTAGACCCCAAATTTCTTTGCAGGCATTTTTTTTTTTTTTGAGTTGGAGTCTCACTCTGTTGCCCAGACTGGAGTGCTGTGGCCGCTCCCGGCCACCGCAGTCTCGACTTGCTGGGCTTCGGTGATCCTTCCGCCTCAGCCTTCCAAGTAGCCGGAACTACAGGCATGCGCTACCACGCCCGGCTGATTTTTTCATTTATTGTAGAGATGAGGTCTTGCTGCCCAGGCGGGTCTCGAACCCGCGGGCTCAGGCAATCCACTCACCTCAGCCTCCCAAAGGTGCGGGATTACAGGCTGAGCCACCGAGCCCGGCTGCAGGCATTTTTTAAAGCTACTTGCTTATTTAGTGAAGATAGTTTGGGAACCAACTGGGTTATATAATCTAATACCCTCAACCAGGCATATACAAAGTAGAGTAACACAAATGCTGGAAGTGAGAAAGGAATGATGCCCCACTATTCAGCTGTTTCTTTGAGGAGTGTCTACTCCTCTCTGGGGATAGCTCTTGAACTGTTTGTGTCATGGGAGCTTGTCATGAGACCAAGTTGGGAATCTGCTGAAAATATACAACTTAAATATTTATAAAGCTAATTTTGTTCTCTTTTTTAGTTTTAAAAGTGAACAAGCATTTCCAATGTTTACTTCCTACACTCTAGTAGAGACCATTGATTGTTCTTGGTGACTTCTCTTGCCTTCTGAGTAGACAGGGTGTGGCCTTGGTTTTCTCATCTGTAAAAAGAAAGTGTTGGATTAGCTGGCTTTTTAGGTGTTTTTTTAGGGAGGGGAATTTTTACCCCATTTGGGTTTTTATGTTTTAACCTACTTTTTTGTCTATTAATGCATCCTCATAAATAACACTCACTGCTTGGAAGTTGTTTCTGTAGGGAATAATGTTCAGAAATATGAGTGACATATTAGGATTTGCTTTTTTTTTTGAGTCAGAATCTCTGTCTAGGCTGAAGTGCAGTGGCACGATTATGGTTCACCATAGCTTCAACCTCCAGGGCTTAGATGATCCTTCCACTGCAGCCTCCCAAGTTGCTGGGACTATAGGTGTGTATCACCACACCTGGCTAATTTTTTGATTTTTTTTTTTTGTAGAGACAAGGTCTCGCTATGTCGCCTAGGCTGGTCTTGAACTCCTGGACTCAAGCAGTCCTCTTGCTTTGGCCTCCCAATGTGCTGGGATTATAGACATTAGCTATCTACCACACCCGGCCAGGGTTTGCTTTTTAAGTCAAAAGTTTGGAAATATCTGTTACATGCAAACCAGAACTTTAAAAACCTCTTTACTTTTTAAGTCCCACCTAGTTTAAACATTACATTAAAATTTTTATGAGACTTGTTTGAAGTATTTGCTCCCTCTTTTTCCTTTTTCTAGAATTCTGTTCATACATTAATCAGTGGACTTGAATTACGGTTGAATGTGTACGTGTTTGCCTTTCATGAGACAGTTTTATACCAGCAAGCTTTGCTGATTAACTATTCTTCACTGAAAATGTTGAAGAACACTGTTGAGAACGTTAAGAACATGTTCTCTAAGAAATTATTTAGATATGTCTTCTTCCCAGGGAAACTTTTTTTAGAAAACTTTTAGCCTGAAGTTCATGGACAATGATTGGGCTTGCTTGTGGGGTGTATGTCCATAAACTCCCTGAAATCATGTGTAAAATTCAGATCTATGTGTGGTTTTTCTGGTTGGAGAGTCCATAAC